GATCAATCTTGGCAGAGTGAAGGAAAAATGCTGGCTTTCTTCATGTTAGCTCATCTCATACATATCTATCTTCAGCTGCTGCCCAGTACTGTGGTGCTCTGCATTAACTACACAGTGGATCAATAACAATTACACCTTCTCAAAAACATGACACATAGCAGGATTGGGTTGACATTTCACTTAGGCCAACATTGATCTCAGTGCATCTGATTCCAGTCCTAAATTCAAGTCAGGCCTGGGTCTAGCTGGAATAAACACACAGTTAAAAACAAAAAAGGAAACCAGCTGCTTGTGCCTTGGCTCAGAAGTAAACAGCACATCCATCTGTGCATCCCCCATCTCCAATCCACTATTCTTCCTGTTGCTACTAGTGATTCTAAAGTTGATCAAAGACTATTTTTTATATGAATTACTCACCGTGACATCAATGTTGATAATATCTCCATCCTGAAGAGGTCGACTGAAACATAAACAGAAAAAAAAAAATAATGGTGACAGACAGTTCCCAACAAAAGGAATATAAGAATAAACACCTAATGACACATATATAAAAAATCAGGGGGTAGATATTTTGTGATGGAGGAAGGCAGAGGCAAACAGAATAACCATTTTTAATGTTCAGCTCTGACTACTTAGAGAACAAGTGTAGCTGAATATAAAATAATGAGAAACAACTACCAGAAAAACATATCAACACCTGAAAAATCTACCATTATATTTATTCTTTTTCTCTCACTAGGGTTCATATTTTACTTTGTGAGTAGCTGAATGTATTGCAAATAAAAAAACCCAAACCACATAAATTCAAATATATTTATTCCTTACCCTATGCTTATTTTGCTGAAGGGAGAAAAAAAAAATATATCAGACTGTACTGTTTTTTTTTTTCCCCACACACTAAACTGTAAAGGCATTATGTTATTTTTTTTTTTTAAGTGTCTGAACAAACAGGATAATGTATTTTTTTTTTTTTTTTTTCTATTTCACATACATTTCTATAACATCTATCAGCATTGTGTGGTAACATGATATGCATCTGCAATAGGTTTACAGATGACATTTAATTAAGCTGAAGTATGTTCAATATTAAACACAATTTATTAATTTCAGTTTAACATTTTCATTCCCGGTGATAAAATGTATATTATTGGGGAAATACCTGTCAGGAATACCATGACATACCACGTTGTTTACAGAAGTACAAACAGATTTTGGAAAACCTCCATAGCCCAGAGGTGACGGGTAGGCATTCTGTCTGATTATTTCATGATGAACAATGGAATCTATTTCTTCAGTTGTCATGCCAACCTAAAATATCAAACATAACATCCTGTTAAAAAAGCAAAGATAGTTTCTCATATTTACTGAACGTGATTGCAGCCAAACGTTTCAATGAAATCTTGGATGTTTCAAACTCACTGCTTTGATACAAAACACTGAACTGCCTGATATACTCTATTGATATATTGGACCTTTTTTTTTAAAAAAAGAAAAAGGTTTTAAATAAAGCATGCAGTAGAAATGAGCACTCAAAGGTTCCTAGAAAAACTAAAATACCGTCTACTTGCTTTCCGTTCTTTTTTCCACGTTTGCTTTCTCAAAGACACCAATTTTCCATGGCATCTTGTTTCAGTAGCTGCTGTAGAAATGTCTGGTTTCAATGCTTTCAGGCCTTTAAAATGCAACATTACTTTCCCTTTTTATTTGCAAAAGAATGGATCTTAATTCTTGTAACCACCCAGTACATTTATCATAATGTATTTGTGCATTTTATGAAATTGTTTTCCAAGTATTCTTTAATTTTATAAAAGATTTAAATATTTGGCTTCATACCTTGAGGAAATTTTACTTTAAGTTGCAATAGCCTGGATGATCACAGTGAATCTACAAGCGCTTATCCATAATTTTTAGAAATATTCATTTTTATGCTTGATGTTTTCTGGATTCCTCTTTTTCTCATGATTTTACATATTAAAAAAAACCCCTCTCATAAATCATTCAGCCATTTTCTGACTATCCATGGAGTGGAAAATGCACACGCTTAAAATAACATTCTTCTCGCTTTTCTTTTGGATCGACTCTGCCTCTGGAATGGTTAGAGCTGAAATTTGAAATTTGGTAGGGAAACCTCCCTCATTGAGAAGAAGTGCCTTTGAGGGTTCCTCTCCAAATTGATTTTGATTTGAATGAGTTTTGAGCCTTTGAAAATCATACTTCGTACACATACGCTACAGTGGCTGTGATTTTGGAGGACTTTAGTAACACGTGGAATATAGGTAGGCTGTGGCGCAGGAGGCATACTTATCCATATATTGAAATATTCAGTGATCACGCACAGTGAATACAGCGGAGTGCACTTGTGTACTGTGCTGAGGATAAAACCAGGTCTATTTGCTCAGCTTGCATCTTGTTCAGCACGAAAGCGTGATTGGGCAGATGAGGAGCAATGAACCCACTCAAGACCAGGATTTGGGGTTACTGTGCACTCCCCCTGCTTTGCAGTAGCCATTGCAGCCTCTGCGCTGGGATGGCAGCTGCAGCCCCAGTGCGCTGTCTGTATTGGATACTGCAGCCATCGGTTCTGGATAAATACCGGTTTGTTGCTCCTGCCTTCGCTCACCCATCTATCATCTTCAGCCCACG